AAGGCATTAAAACACCGCAAGCTCACGTCAAAATTAGGCCGCGCTAGTTTAATTCATGCTGTTACACATATTGAGTTTAATGCGATTAACCTTGCGCTTGATGCCCTGTATCGCTTTCAACACATGCCGCGTGATTTTTACATTGACTGGCTACAAGTTGCCGCTGAAGAAGCCCATCATTTCAGCCTATTACGCCAACGACTCGAAAAAATGGGCTACCATTACGGTGATATGCCCGCTCATAATGGTTTATGGGAAATGACCGTCGCGACCGATCACGATGTACTTACAAGAATGGCCCTAGTGCCTCGTGTACTGGAAGCAAGAGGTTTGGATGTAACGCCAGGCATGATGGAACGCTTAAAAAAAGTAGATGATCAAGAAACGGTTGATATTCTCACCCTTATTTTGCGCGATGAAATCGGTCATGTTGCCATCGGATCACGCTGGTTTCATTACTGCTGTGCACAGCAAAAACTCGATCCTGATTCAACCTTTCGTGATTTATTAACCCAATACATGGGCGCCCCTCTACGTTCACCCTTTTTCACCGAAGCGCGCTTGCAAGCAGGCTTCACTCAACACGAGTTAGATCAGTTAATTGTAATGGAAGAACAGTGGGTTAATAAAAAAGGTATTCCTCTATGAGGGCAGATTTCTGCAGCACAAAAATGTCAAAAAATTACAGCTCATCAAAAAACAGATTTTATACTAAAGTAAACGCAAATCTATGCAAATCGGGTTATTGCTTACGATATGATTTTTCCATGACGCATTAACTGCCACTTATTGTTTAAAAGTTAGAAGTTGTAATAATGATGCCAGCAAAGAGCTCAGCGAATAGGACATTAAGGAAACCTGCTTTATAGACACTTTTACCCACTATTCTTCCAATAAACCGTAGAAATTAAACTATAATTATCGCGCATTAAAAGAACATTAACGGTACTTAAGACCTGAAATCTGGCCCATCCACGTGTAACCAATAAAAATCAAAAAGTAGGGGCTCTACTGAGCTAAAGGCCCCTCTCAAATAAAATATGCTCATGGAGATACACAAACAAAAGGTTATGAATCATGCGACCACTACGCGTTATCTCAATTCAAATCCCCATATGATTAATACTTCAGGCATGGCTAGCATGGCTGAAAGCATCATAACGGATGCCCGTAAAATTCAATATGGTGGACTTAGTTTGATGAAGATCCGAGGCGCATTTTAATCGGTTACTTCAATAAAATTGTAACGAATATGCCTCCTCGATTACTCAAAGAACCGCATAACAGATGAACGCTCCACCTCTCATTTAATCTCGGCTCGCCAAACTAAAGGTTGAAGAACAGCGGCGATCGCAGTTTGCAGGTGAAAAATCAATAACACCGAAGGCCGAGCGTTCGTGCACACTCGTCCTTACCAATCGAAGGGGCAATACACGCCGTGTTTTGTGACGATGAAATATATCATGCCCGATATTAATGCTGAACTGGAAAGATGAAGGTATTTTCCGAGAAAAAAGTCTCGTAGCGGTCAATGAATAGGCTTATGCCGGGCTTACCCATTACGCATTTGTGAATGTGGGTGATCGCGGCTCAGACTTAGGCCCTAAAGCTAGGTTTGTCGCGGCGCTTAACAATTACGCCACAGCCTTCAATTAAAAGTGAGCTTTGTCATCCAAATGTAGATGCTTCCACACATCAACAAATTCTATTGAACTGCGGATCGCAGAAACAACTTGTATTCCGTGATCATCAAAAAACTTTGACCACTCAAGAAACCCATTACCATGGCAAAACAACAGCTGCAAGAATGGTTCTTAGCGGCCCAGGACGTGTCACCGAAGAATGATATCGCAAAGCACTTTGTGCGGTAATCAACCAATGAACCTGCAGTGCCAAAAGCATTTGCTATTGACCCGAGAATATGTTCCGCTTATTTTTGGGACTGGGTAGGCGGTCGTTATTCACTATGGTCAGCCATTGGTCTCTCTAGTATTTTATACCTTGGCATGGATCACTTTATTGAGCTGCTAGAAGGCGCTCATGCGATGGATAATCATTTTCGTAATGAACCATTAGAATCGAATATTCCCGTCATATTAGCCATGTTAGGTATTTGGTACGGTAATTTCTTCCATGCTGAGTCCAGTGCCATCTTGCCATATGACCACAATCTACGCTTACTACCTGCTTACTTAGAACAAGCTGATATGGAAAGCAATGGCAAATCAGTCGATAAAGAAGGCCAACAAACCACCTACTCCACGGGTAAAATTATTTGGGGAGCAGAAGGCATTAATGGTCAGCATGCATTCTACCAATTGCTGCATCAAGGTACTCGGATTATCCCTACTGACTTCATTGCTTCTGTTATATCGCACCACTGCAATGAAACGCATTGCAATATCCTCGCATCTAACTTTCTTGCTCAAACTGAAGCTTTAATGCGCGGACGCACCATGGAAGAAACCCGAGAACAATTAATCTCGGCTGGCATTGAGTTATGCAAAGCGGAAAAACGCTTACCACATATGATTTTTGAAGGTAACCAACCGAGTAACTCCATTGTCCTAAAGAAGTTAACACCCCACGCGCTGGGTTCACTTATCGCCATGTATGAACACAAAATTTTTGTGCAGGGTACGGTCTGGAACCTTAATTCCTATGATCAATGGGGTGTTGAATTGGGAAAAAACCTCACCAAGAATATCCTCGAAGAAATGGAAAGCAACGACGACCTCTATGCGCATGATAGCTCTACCAGAGGCTTGTTAGATTGGTTCCGTAACTGTAGGCAGGAAGAAGATAAGAAATAAATAAAATTATAGATATTTTGGTTTTACCCTATACTTTATCTTACAGTCCATAACTTTGACTCAGTGGTCCATTAGCAAACGTCTTTTCATGGGTGAATTGTAGGGTGCAATGCATGTTTTGTGCAAAGTTTAGAACAATTGTTAGTAGTGTCAGTAAATGCGTTATTCTAAACTGTCTTTTTATTCTTTTTCTCCGGAAAACCACGATAGGACGTTAAATTGATAGCCATACTAAATTAAATTTATAAGGAGATCTTATATATGAAATTGGGAAACACCTTACTATCAAGGATATGCTTTTTGGTTTTGAAGTAAATGTACATCATGAACCGCTTAAAGCACTACTAGGCAGGGCGAATATTTCTACATTCCCTTTTTTTATTTTCCTATCTTTTTCACTACTTCTAATTAATATTCATCTTTTTTATGTATTCGAGCAGTTTTAGGTTCTGGCGCTGGTGGATGGCTTTCTCAGTGGAATTGAAACTGCAATAATTGTCACGCATACGTGAAGGAAATTTTAACGGCACTTGCTCGCACCCAATCCTCAATTGCCAATCAGTAACGACAATGAAACTGTGGTCTTGTTTTAATGCCTCGCCGCATATCTCGTGCTCAACTAGAATCCTTTTCAGCATCTTTTTCAACCAAACAGAGCGGTTACGTGACAACAGGTATGCTGCGCAATCGTTGATTTGTAGAGCACAAATCGGGACCATACACTCGCTGCTTATTGATGCTTAGAGCAGCACACCGCTCCTTGGGAATATCTATGCACGGAAGCCGTTAAAGGGTTGGGACCCTCCCCCACCCCCCCCACAGCTTTCCCAATTTTCAATATTCTAGAGCATTTCGCGTGTGGTAACTTGGAATAAGTCAACACAGACAAAGCAGTTTTGAAATCTCAAGCCCTACAGGGCTAAATTTACCGGCCGTTGCCACTACCGTCGTTCCACTTAAAAGCGAAGCTCCCCCTTATTCTCCACATCGACATAACACCGTACCGGGTGATAACATCGGTATGAAAATTGAAGATACAAACACTGGAAAGGCACTATTCTATGCCCCTGGATTAGGTGAAATAGAACCCCACGTCAAAGGCTACATGGAAGATGCCGATTGCATTTTAGTGGATGGCACCATGTGGACTAATAACGAGATGTCTCACGAAGGCATTAGTAACAAGTTGGCAAGTGAAATGGGACATTTGGATCAGTCCAGCGAAGGTGGTATTTTGGAAACACTGAAGTCCCTTTCAAAACCTCGTAAAATACTCATTCACATTAACAATACTAACCCTATTCTGGATGAATCAACGCCAGAGCGTGCAACACTTAATGAAGCTAGTATTGAAGTATCCTACGATGGTATGGATATTCATTTATAAATAGCGTAAGCACTAGGTATCAACATAGAAAAACATGAGCACTGACAATAACATTGCCGACTTACATAAAGCATGGACTCGTGAAGAGTTCGAACAAAAGCTTCGTGATAAGGAAAAGTATTATCACATAAACCACGAATTCCACATTTTGATGAATTCTGGAAAGCTGGATAAAAAAGCGATTCAAGGCTGGGTTGCCAATCGCTTTTATTATCAAGTGGCTATCCCTGTTAAAGATGCTTCTATCATGTCTAACTGCTGGGATCGTGATGTTCGTCGCTCATGGGTGCAACGTATTCTGGATCATGATGGTTATGCTGATAGCGAAGGCGGTATAGAAGCTTGGCTCATGCTAGGCGAGTCTGTCGGCCTTAAACGAGAAGAACTGTTATCTCACGAACACCTGTTACCGGGTGTGAAGTTTGCAATTGATGCTTACGTAAATTTTGCTCGTCAGCAACCATGGGAAGTTGCCGCAAGTTCTTCGCTAACTGAACTATTTGCTCCGAAAATCCATCAAAAGCGTCTAGATAAGTGGCCAGAGTTTTATCCATGGATTGATGTAAAGGGATACCAATATTTCCGTAATCGCCTTTCTGAAGCAAGACGCGATGTAGAACATGGACTAGACATCACACTGAATTATTACAAAACGCGTGAGCAAAAATGTTCTACATGTTAAACTGGATATTTTATGGACATGCTAGATGATTGTGGATGGCCTATGTTTGAGAACAAAACCACCCTATCACAACCGTATAATAACAGGTCGGATCTACTCAGTATTAAAATGAATAAAGACGCCATACCAGCACTATCACCCTTATTCCGCCTTCCAGTGCGGAAGAGCACAGCAACTAGTCATGTTGATCCTTATACCATGAAGGCATGGTTAAAACTTAGCCGGAAGTGCTTGGCGAAATAATGCAAACAAAGGGTGCGCATGGAAAAGCAACGTTGGCGCAATTCATTCAAAACACTTGAGCACCCTAATTCGAAGGTGCAGATGTCAGTGACGACGTAATCGTTTCATCACAGAGCAGAAAGTAATGGTTGGATCCAACCTTAATAACAAACCAGGCCCACCGCCTCTTGGTTATTGGCTGCAACTACCCTACTCCTGCGCCTACAATGCCTGACTTGCTTCAAACCCATATGGATATCGCGGAATTAGCAAGAAGAAGGCTTTCAGACAGATGATGGTACGCGTATAAGAGAAGCCCGGCGGAAAAAGGGGGCGCACTAACTTGGGTTTTCTGGTGGGCGACCAGCTGGTAGCGTAAAGACTTTGAACATTGTAATCGGCGCCGAATCTAGAAAACTGCGCCTATTACACCAATCTACTTACGTCGGTGTTGGCATGGACGGAGACCGTATTGCTGCTTTTAAAGAAGCCGCGTCTTGAATCACAATTCAAGTAGCTTTCTAGGCTAGTAACGAGAAACTTAATTAACTTCATCGCAGGAACTGATACTTTCAGCAAAACTAGATAATGGCGCGTCATACGGTAAAAAAACAAGATACCCAATGGTACTTTGTTTTTGTCTTGCATCGACAAAATACTTGACCAGATCAAAGACATTCTTGAACTTGCCATCGCGCCTTGTGAGGCTGACTATGATAGGATTACGCGACTACGCAAATATTACGGCTGGGCGAACTTAATAAAGAACAGCTTTTACCGCACCAAGAGAGCAAATTACTAAAGCGAAAAAAGGTGCACATGAATATCAATGCAGAAAATGAAGGAAAAAATGTCCCCCGTATTTTTTACGGTCAGCGTTTCTGATTATTCGAGATTCGCTCCAAACCCGGCATGCAACGGTGGGTAATTTTCCCTTACCATCACTTCTCCTGACGGATCAGCCTTGTACCTGTCATTTCCTGCACGATAATTCCAAGCCTTGGAGATTACCTAATGTTAAGACCACAGTATTGATTGGATATGGAAACGATTTCGCCCGGATTTCAAATAAGTTTCGGCGGGATTCGACCTGACCGATGAAAAAACCTTGTCGCAGCTGTGATGAGAAAGAAAAGACTCGGCTCGGGTGTCGCTGTCAGCTCTCATGCTCACGGGGATGCAGCCAGTTACGATCCAGTTGCTCAAAATCTCCAAATCATGGAAAATTGGTCCCGAAAAGATATTAGAGCCATTAGAAGAAAGGTATACATAATTTCCACACCATCAAATAGTTAAGAAAGCCGTTTAATCTTCCGCAATCATCGCGCGCTTCAAAAAACTAAGCATCAAAACTTTCCAATCTAGAATAGCGCTAAAAAATCGAATGCCAACTTTATCAGAGATAGAAAACCCTAAAACCTATTCAATCAATGTCGATACACCACATCAACTCTATGTAGAGGAATGTGGTAACTCGGATGGCATTCCTGTGATCTTTCTCCATGGTGGTCCAGGGTCAGCCTGTAACGCCTCTCACCGTCGTTATTTTAACCCTGTATATTATCGTATCATCTTGTTTGATCAGCGTGGCTGCGGGCATTCTACTCCCCATGGCTGCCTAGACAACAATACAACCCACCACTTGATGAAAGATATCGAAACAATTAGACAAAAGTTAAACGTTGAAAAGTGGGTGATTTTTGCTGGTTCCTGGGGGGTTACCCTCGCCCTGCTTTACGCACAAACGCATACTGATAAAGTATCAAGTATGATTCTAAGAGGAGCTTTTCTGGCCTCAAAACGTGACCTGGACTGGTTTTTTAGTGATGGTGTATGCAGACTGTATCCTGAGTTATGGGAAACCTTGAACACCTGTCTTCCAAAGATTGAATCGGATGAAACATTGTTGCAAACTTATCACCATTGCTTGTTTTCTGAAGATCCAGAGCTCAATAGAAAAGCCGCTAAAGCCTGGTCAGATTGGACGGATACGATTGTGACATGGACTCTTCCTACACAAGTAAAGCCAGAGCAAGCTACAGCCAAAAGTTCATTCCATGAGATTACAGACAAGCACATACGCAGC